GAGCAAATCCTTGTGAGGAGTGACATCTGTGACAAAAGCATTAAGAGGAGCCTTTTGTGTGGGAACTCTGCAGAAACTTAACAAGAAAACCAAGCAGTATCTTCTTGGAGTGCAAATAAAGAACATGATATTAAAAAAAATCGCAAGCATTAATTTTTTTCTGAATCACTGCTATTATTAGGGTGTTTTTTTTCTTTTTACTGTACACTGGTTTTCTAAAAAGTAGGGGGAAAAAATCCAAGTAAATATTTAAGATAAGTAAATCATTCAACTTCCAGCTGCTTTCCTCTTCTCGAGGTATATTAAGTTTTATGGTTAATGTATTTCTGTACAAGGCTAAGGGAACCTTTGGCCTTGGAGAATGTGCCTCTGGGCTCCTCACACTCCAGAACCTCCTGCCAAGGAACGGTGAGCTGGGGCTCGCTGACATACAAACGCTGGCATGTGCCATCTGCCCATCCTGCTCAGCCTACCTGTCAAACCCACGGCCTCCGGTTCTCCACACTGCCCCATCATCTTTGTAATATCAAATCTCCAGAGACCAGTTTCTCAGACTGCAAAATAATCTTGAAAAACGCTCTGTTTTGTTCCACCGGGCACATACTCCTGGGCAGCCCCGCGCACTGCAGCGGAGGGAAGCCCTCCCGCCCTGCCTCTTTACCCGGCAGCTCTCGTAGAGCCCCGCTGCACCCCGGTCCCCCTGGCAAAGAGCTCTATGGGCGGCACAGGACGGTCTTATCATCCCTCTCTGCCCCGTCAATAAAAGCCCTGTGCGGCGGCTCTCCCTGGTTCTTCTCAGTCTTCTCCAGGCTTCCAGCTCTGCTCTTTCAGTCAGCAGATTAAAGCACCCTCTCATTTCCCCCAGCTCTCAGCTGGTTTATGCCATCTGGCTCCCAGCCTTGTGTAAGGAGCCTCCTGCTTTCGGTAGCGTCCTCCTACTACCTCCCTGCCCACTGCCTCGGTCCTGCCAGCTGCACGGCTCCGTGGTAAGACAGGTGGGCTATGGTGAAAGCAGCTAAAAACATGTTTTATTTTCTCTCCTTGCCCTTCCTTCCTTGTACAACTTGCCGTCCACTGAGATTTGGGCCTGCATTTGCAAAATGTTGCATGAAATCTGGAGATGGAGAAGATGGGAGCTGCCTAGCTTGCTGCCTAGAAAGTGAGATCTATCTGCATATCGGAGCTCACACAAACGTGCCTCCCCATGTGGGCAGCTTATCTGGTCACCCAGGCAAACATTAATAGTCAGAAAATAGGGACAAAACAGAAGTAATGTTAAGCTACCCTGAGCTTCTTGAACTTGAGCATTCGGGGGGAGCAATCAGGAGCCTTAGGACAACCTTCCTCAAGACCTCTTGCAGCGTCCAGTGTGCAAAATCAAAGCGGTACCCCTGGGGTTTCCCGTTTAACCTGCTGGTCTTAGAAGGCCCTAGTGTCAGACACATAAAGGTTTAGATGTGGCATGTCTGACTGACTTTGAAAACCCATCAGACTAAGTAACAGAAAGAGGCCTGACCTGGCTTTTGAAATGCATTTTATTTATGCATTTGATTATAAATTCAGCCACATCATGCAATGCTTGGCAAAAGCAAAAAAAAGAGCCATAAAATCAGCTACTTCACTCTCCTCCCCTCTAAAGGTTTCCATCAAGGATGAGACAAATGCCAAGTAAAAATGAAGTGGGTGGAGGGAAGAGAGCATAATAAATAATGAAAGATGCAATGAATCAGAGTCCTTAGGTAATCAAAATACTTAAACCATAAAGATATCAAAAAGAAATAGACTTTGTCCATATCTCAGGACTACATATCTCACAATTATATTGCTATCAAGAAAGAGTGTCCTGCACAAATATCTGCGCAGAATTGCTACACTCTCAGTGTATGCCCTGGTCCAACATTGTCTCCTAGAGTCAAAAACTAATCAGGTGTTAAAATTTTCAGAGTGTTGTTGTGGGTTAGAAGGCTTACTTAAATAATTGCTGGACTGCAGTGTGTTTTCTTACATTGCTTTTGTATAGTCTTTTACCTCTCTTTGCTTCCTCAAGGCTAATGCATGGAATATTAAAAATACAACAAGGCTCAAATTCAGAGGAGTCTATCTTTGCTATATAGCAGGCAAATGTAGGGGGGAAATAGACTGCACCATCAGCTTAGTATCTAACTCAGAAAGTCTACCTTCCTAGATATTAATTTTCATCCAAAAGCTTTGTGAGCCTGCAGCAGTATTAAAAATTTATTTTTTCTATCCACTTGAAATGAAATCCTTTGCTTTTGCCATGTAGCAGCAATTATGAAGTCCTTATCTCCTGGATCACATTAATTTTGCCTACAGTAGTCACCTTCTTTTGCTCTGTTTTGGCAAGTATTTACATCAGCCCCAAATTCAAGTCCGATAAGCCTAGCAGTGGAGAGCTACATGCACTTTTCCCTCCAAATTAGATGCTAGGCAAGTTCCATCCAGACAATTATTGTCTTTGTTTTGGTCAATATGTCCCATTGGTCCTGGGTTTTAGTTATGCTAAGTACTTCAGTCTTAGTGCTATACTGTATTACCTGTGATCGATGCTTCAAAGACAGCGTTACAACTGTCTAGTGAGGGCTGCAGAGCTTGTCCTTAAAGCATGAATGGCCTTTACCCAGCTTGCTGCAGACATATTCCCTTTTCAACTGCTCCCAGCCCTTCTGAAAGCCTCCTGGGAATGTGACTCCATTTGTGAGAGCTGGATGGTCATCTGCTGTGAAGGTTTCTGGGAGGACCCTTCTCTAAACAGGTCACAGGCATGTCTGCCAGGGGCTCAGAGATTCAGGGAGCTGATGGCTGCATTGGAGGAAAGGTGAACTCAGTACCTCGTCCTCCCTGGGGAAAGAAAATATCATCATGGCTTCGCCAAGACTGTCAGAAATGGCGTTTAAAAAATGAGAATTGCTTGCAGGCGAGGGGGTAGCCATATATCCAGAAACACGCTGGTAAGGGCAGCTGCCTGGGAGCGCAGGAATTGCTCAGCACCCTGCTGCCACTTGCCCTTTCTGTCTGCTAGCGAGGGGGAGAGCAGTGCTCTGGTTCTCCCACAGCAGCCTGTGGCTGGAGGCACAGGAATACGTTTGTAATGCGGCTTTCACCGAAGAAATGCTCAACTAATATTTCAGAGGGGGCTACAGAAGTGCTGACGTTTCCAAAGTGTAGTCAGTGTAGGATGTGGTGAGATGGGAGAGAGGGAGTGACTTAAAATACTATGCCTAAAGTAAATCTCTTGCTCTCGGTAGCGATTTGCAGAAGCGCAGTAACTTGCTGTCTGCAGCAGCAGCACTGAACTGCATTGGCTGGTCACAGCTCCTTCACCTGGGGTGAAAGCAGTAACTACCTGGCAGCCAGAAAGAAGCCCAGGTAATAAAAGTGCTGAAGGACAGGCTCATTTTTTTTTGCCTCATTTGAGTGGTTGAGAGCAGCTGTCCTTCGTGTCTCGCTGGCTTCAAGCAGCAGGGAATATTTGCAAAGTCACCTTGAGCTACTGCTGAGCTCCCAAAATTTGGCCACGCACTTTCTGTTATGCTGACAATTGATGTGTGCAGCAGAGCAAGGGCTGCGGCTCCATTACAGCTTGGCGAGTCTGTTTAAACCACGAAGGGAGATGTTACTCTAAATCTGAGATGGATTTTGCTGAGTTTATTTGGTTTTAATCCTTGCAATTAGGTACATGTTGATTATCACAAGGGACAGAATAGAGTCGTAGCCATGAATCTGAATTTATATAGAAGCACCCAGAACTTTAGCCTTTATTTCTTAAAAATGTTTATGTTGGCAACCCTAGTTTGCAGTAGAATATTTTTATCATTTGGAGAAGAAACACCCAGGTTGTGAAACTACATGTTGGATCTGAACCACAGCTAGGCACAGAGCAGCCTACAGGAACAAAGAGTGAGCCTATCTGCCTGGCGGTGTCCATGAAATCCCTTTGTGCAGTTGATGTGCAATAAGCACTACATCTGGAAAGCACAGCATGTGCTTGATCAGAAAAGAGTATCTGTACACGCGGAGATGTGGCCACTAAAGCATCTTTGCACGCTGCTGACTGAGGTATTTTGCATGGCTCTAACCGCTCTGTAGGAGAAGTGTTAAAATGTGGCTTAGAGGCTGACTAAGCTGGTTTCAAACAAAGATAATTAATTCTTTGCTACAAAGATCACTTGTGATGATCCAAATCTGTGGCATGGTCCTGAACAGCTTCCTACTGCAGGCATCCACAATTCTCTCAACAATTAATTCCTGGTGATGGTATGAAATCAGCCAGCCTTGCGTATCTGTATCTATAGCCATTTCTTTGGTTATCCAACCACATAATGACAACATAGTCACCACAATTAATAGTACCCAAGAATCATCAGTACCATGAGATGATACAGTCCACAGTCCAGAAGCCAGCAGCAGTTGGAGAATTTCTTACGTTCATATTAAAATCTTAGCACTTCTTTTCTAAATTTGCATATGCTGCAGAATTGCTTTTAAAAACAGGTATGCCAGAGAGGTCAAGACACTTGGCCAGTCCCCATTATTAGAGGACATTTTTTACAATATTTAACTTTGTCCTTCCATCTCAGTTCTGACTTCTTTTTTTCACCTCCCCTTACTTCTGCGCATATGTGGACCATACACTTTGTTCACATCTGCCACTTGAAGCGCGCTGATCTTTTCCGTTGGTTTTGTGCTGTAGGAATACACAAGATAGAAAAGTTTCACTTACTGTAATAATAAAGTAATATCTTATTGCTGTGCTAATAACATATTTGACAAGTTGCTTCCAAGTACAGCTTTGCATTGCCTCAGAAAAAATACAAAAAACTTTCTTCTCCCTTCCCTGTTTTGAGTAACTGGTTCTCTATAGAACACAGACATTAATATGTCTGTAGAAGACTGAGCTCACAAGACAAATAAATGGCCATGTACACTGATGTAAAAATATACCTCTAGATTTGAGGCTGGTATTATGTTAAATGAAAGCAACTGTATTGTTAAGCTGAGCTGTGTAATTAAAACTCCATTTAATCGCTTGCCTGCACTGCATGCCTCTTGTGCTTTCCATCCATTATCAGCTACATGAATTATTGAAAAAAGAAAACAAGATTTTTTTCTGTTTTTTCAAATGTGTCTGGTAAAACAAATATGTTTGCTTTTAGGGCAAGGCTACATACAAGGCTCAATGCCCCAATTGAACAGCTGTTCTCAAACACATCTCTTCCGAAGTAAAATTGACTATTAACCTGTCCCTAAGAAATGCTTGTCTGAAGAGAATGTTTTTCCCCTCCAAAAATTAAAAAGTGAAGAAAATAGGATTTTATTTTGAGTTGATGAATTAAGAAAAACTTGTTTGCAAACTGAACTTCAGTTGCAGCAATTAAAAAATACAAAAAATCTTTCAAACAACTTCTAAAAAAGTTTTCTTCAGAAAAGCTTGTAGAAAAAATGCACCACTGTACTCAGCAGAAATCTATTTGAGCATTGGACTAGTGCTATCTGAAGAGAAACACTGTTTACAGATTTAATATCTCCTGCAGCATTTGGATTTGTCTGGGAATCATTTCAGGCACTGGGTTTGCTCCAGCTTCTGCTCAGCTGGTGAGAACCCCTCCATGGTCTTTCCTAGGAGCAGGCTCAGACCTTTACTGAGTACTGAAGCAAACCCAGTCTCTCCCTCACACTGAAGATAAATGATTTCTCTGATGAGTTCCCAGAGATTTCTGCCCACTGCAGATTTTGAGAACTGTGCCCTGAGGCTGCACTGCTGCTGGTCTCACCTCTGGCAAGGAGAGGAGATGCATGCAACAAAATGCTGCTCACATTTTTAGGTGCGAGATTTTCTCTGCCAGATTCACAGCCCCAGGCCAGAGTCCTGAGGAATAACTAGTATTTTTGAACACTTACAGTTTGAAGAGGCACCAGTATCTGAAGCCCCACTGTAAAGAAACAGTGTTGAATGTTAGTGCCTCATAAAACACAAATCACACCGTGTTAATAACAAAATAAGAGACGTGAATGGATATGACCCCCTCTTTTGAGATGAAGGACAGCCTTCTAGACTCTGCTTGGCTCTCTTTGAGACTGAAGCAGAGGAGCACAGGACACACGGTCCTTAAACAAACAACTCTTAGAGAAATTTGCAGGGAACATTTTGTGAGTAAAGAAAAGTATTTACCTGTTCTGCTTAATTTGGTTGTTGAGTTCACCTAAGAAAGATGGAGAAGAATGTTTTACAAAGCTGGCAATGCATAGAAGTTTGGGACTTGGTACTGTGCCCCTGGATGTCATGGGCAGGGATAGACAAAGGCAAACAAAGAGGACGTTTCTCGAAAGCATGATTGAGCACCCAAAGATTCAGGAGGTAGGTGGGAGGAGGAGAGCACATCAGACAGAGGAGAAGCTGGCCTTATGCTGGTTAGGAGCAGACCTCTTCCTTGTTATCCCCAGAAACAGTCCTTCTGCCCCCTTCACCCTCCCCTCTCCAACACCCCCAAGATCCCATCTGAATCCTCATCAGCCTCTTAAGGCCATGCACACGCCCCGTATAAAGGGGCCAGCATTCGGTGGCCACCAGCCCAGCTCACTGAAACCCATGGCTTGCTGTTTTCCGCTCGGGGTCAGCGGTGCGTGGCCAGCGGGTCGGGGCAGATCACTCACTCTGCACGCCTTGCAGCAGCGAGTCCAGGCGACTCATGAAGTCCCTCGTCAGGTGTCGGTAGTGGTCGATCCTGGCCTGATCCAGCTGCACTACCGCCACATCCATCCTGCTGGTGCTGAAATTCTGACTCGCAACCCTAGGGTGCAAGCGGCCATTTCACCAGGGAAAATCATTTAGCATTAGAAAGTTAACAAACTCCTTCATTAGGAAGGACGCTACAAAGAGGAGGGTGCTTTGGCAACATGAAGTATCAGGTAAACAGCTCTCTGATAAGGTTAAGTGAATTGCAATTGTTATATATTGTTATTTATTTAGCAATGCCTTTTGCTTACCAAACCTGGATGGGAACTTTCAAATGCTAAAAATGAGAAAGGGGGAGACGTTTTGCTAATACCCTTGTGCAAATAGTGCTTTGGCCTGCTGCAGGCAGGCGCTTACTGTTTGAGCACAACCGCCATCGTGATAGAAAGAAAATGCCAAACATAGTAAATGGTGTCCAGGCTTCTGGAAAATGATTTTGATCCCACAGGCTAGATTTTGACTTGCGGCACAGCTGTGAGTAATGGACTATGCTGCTGCCAGCACAGCCCCTAGGTACACGGTGATTCAAAGTTATCCTTACAATCCAAGTTCAAACTCAGTTTTATTCCTACGAGTTACAGAGATGACACCTTAAAATCCAGCCAGATGTTTGAGCTAGCCCTTCATGCGGCTGGGGAGTTTAGTGCTGCAGCAAAATTTCTTGTGGTTCTGTAACTTACTGTTGGTGTGGTTTTGCACCATTGCATTACAGCTGACAGCCAGGCGTCAATTAGGAAGTAAGAAGTTATAAATTAAATGTGTCACTTACAAGAGAAAGGATAATAAATCTGTCTAGCTATTAAGCTTGTCCACAAGCAGAAGCAAAGATCGGTGGGAAATGAGCCAGTTACCTCTGCAGCCAAAGGCTGTTCACTGGGACTCACGTGCAGGAGTGTCACCAATACGCATCCAAGAGAGTGTTGCTGTAAACTGAACCCTATGGGCTTCATCTCTGATAAAAACATTTTTCTGGTAATAAAAGCCAGTGGTTTTCATCAGAATCCAGCAACCACGTAGCTGCCAAGGAAACTGAAACTTAAAGGGACCACTGGAACAGCAGGCAGATATCTCTCCATCCTCGTTAATAGTGTGGACGTGGTGCCCTCTGGCTCAGCTAGAATAGGGAGCAGCTTTGCAGCATAGGGTGCCAGGACAGAGGGGCACAGGCAGCGGGGTTTGATCCCAGTTATCAACACCATATTTTTTCAAAGAAGAAAACAAGTGTTTTCAGGTGGAACATACCTGTCCGTGGCCAGTTTAAATTCCTACAAACAGGATTGCCCCAAAAAAAAGGAAAAAAGTAGTTAGTGCGATTTCCAGAAAGGGCATCTGTCTGAGAAATAGGCATATTCATGAAGAAAAGCAGAATACCGCTGCTTACTTTGAAGAAGAGGAAAATATCTGGTTGCTCTCTCATTTTCTGCAAAGACTGAAGATGCTGCGCAGCCTCATCTCTCCTCTGTTCCATTTCCTTCTTCACTTTGGTAATGTCTGCCAGTTGTTTTTTCTCATTGAACTGAATGTCACTCAGGATCATCTTCTCTTTCAGCATCATCTCTCTCTTCATCTCTTCAAACAGCTTTTGCAGCTGAGAAGTCACTGTTTTCGTATTGGTCTAAATGAACAGATAAGAAAATGGTGCACTGGCTTGGGAACTCAACACTTCAGCTTAGTGCTCTATTAATTAGGATTGTACCTATCCTTTGCACTGGCTTTAGAAGGAAGCGGGCAATAGGCATTTGTTTAGAATATCTGATTAAACAGAGGGTTATGAAAATTAATGCTGATATAGTAACAAAATCAGATAAAATTCAGCTAGCAATGTGAGAACTGTATCGGTACACACTGAAAATCCCACTTGTAGATTCAAATTGGTTTTCTTTTATTTAACTGATAGAAAACTTTAAAAATACACAATGATATGTACAGTCTGTGGCCTGCCAGTCCTGCAGCCTTGTCTATGCAACCACATAGCGTTAAGTCTCCACAACCACAAGCAACAGTCTCTCAGCTGTTTCCTCCTGTGGAGCTATGCTGGGAGGCTGTGAGAAAGCTTGGCTTCTGCCAGTTTTTTAAACCAGTGTTTTCCTTACTTTGGACTATATCTCTTTCTTTTCATCTGCTTCTAACAGTATAGTTGCCATCACTTATTTCTGGGAAATTACGGAGGAAAGATGCTCGGGGTGCCAACCTTGAGCTGATTCTTGCTTCTCTGAAGCTCTTCTAGGGCAGTATCTAAAGCACTTTTACGTTCCTGCAGCCACGTCACAATGTCTGAGAGTTCACCCTAGCAGAAGGAAAGACAGCATTGAACTTCATAGCAGGGAAGAAGCACACATAGGTTTAAACTAGACTGGCGGTTTGTGGAGCTGGTGAAATGGCATGGGTGCCTTCTACCTGCTCACTTTCACCAGTGAGTCCTAGAATAAACTGTGTTCACTTGCCTCCTCATAAAGATAGGGCATAACAGAAAACTGATATGAACTGGAAATCTTTCAAGACAATGTTTAGTTTTTATATGTGTAGCTTTCTATGTGGTAGGTTAATAAACAACTTTCCCTTTGAATAAGTAAATTTCACTTTAAATGAATAAATCTCACTTTATCTGTTAAAGCTCTGTTCCTGCCAGAATCTTTGCATGGGCCTAATGTGATCCAAAACCTTAGTTTTCACATCTGTCAGCAGCTGTGGGATCTGAGGATAAGGTAATAAGCAAGCATCTTTTCTGAAGATCAGCGAAACAGCAGTACTTACTCACCCAGCTGTTTATTTTAATGGATACCACAATCATTCAGTGCTCTTATACTGCACGATAACACATTTCAGAGGGGACATTAAACCTCATTCTTTGGGGATTAGATAGGCTCTGAACGGTTCTGGTTGCTCCTGGTTGTGTCCAGCAGTGTTTTCACACCTCAAGCACCCATGAATGGCCATGGCAGACATAGCTGCCAGATTCCTGTTTCTTTAATAAAAATTATGCCAGAAAGCTTAGGTTTTCCATGAGATAGTTGTCACAGTTGGAAAGTTTTAATGTTTGGAAAATTAAAAGACAAATAATCGAATTTGACCAAGGTTCCTTACACCAAAACCTTTTTATAATTCCTCCTGAAGAGCTGTATTCCGGATTTCCCTGGCTATCCTGAGGAGTTTAAAAAAGACAAGCAAGAGGAATACGCAGCTGAGATCTCAGCTTATCCATGGAGATGGCTTCCCCATAGGCAGAGCAGTGCTGCTCCTTTACCAGCTCCAGGGATGAAGGAACTGGCTACTATCCTACACAGCCCACTTCTGTTTGGCAGCCCTGAATTTTCTACACGTAACTTGGGGGAGAAAGTTAGTTTGTGATAAGTATAACTGCAATGGATGCTTCCTGCTAATTCCCGAGGAGACTGTGACCTGTCCTGAGGTCCAGAGCGAGCTGGGTGTTTCCTGCCCATGCACTGGGTTCCTGCAGGGTGTTTTGCTTGGGCTCTACATTGAGCCCAGAAATTTCAAATGCAAGGCAGTGAGCGAGCATAGCAAATGCATTTTCTCCCCTCAGTCTCAGCTGGTTCCGGAGCATTTCAAGGACAGCAGCTGGACTCAAAGGCAGGGACTTCGAGGCCCCATGTCTCTGCCTGCTGGGACGCTGGCTTTGCAAAACTTAGGGCAGAGGGAGGAGGGAGCCAGAGGGAAGGGCCTCGAGTGGGAAAACATGTTTCCCAGCCCAAAATTCAGCAGTAGTGGGGTCCCCGAGGCTCTGTAAAGGAAGAGAATTCTTAATCCCTGCAGGAATACTTCTTCATCCCAGGCGAGAATATACTTGTCATGGGCAGTTTGCAGTTGCCTGGGGCTGCACAGGACGGACAGCCCTGCGCCTGCCTCTTGCTTGTTCTCCTGCATGCACATCCCCATCGACACACGCTACAGGATTTACCCACCCTTGTCCTGGTCAGCCCCAAACACCTTTCTCTGCTCTTCTCCCTCTGCTTAGCCTGCCAGGCTGCTTTCGCAACACAAAGAAGGAAGTTAAAAGCAAATTGCAGCACAACGCACCAGTCCCCGCCGGGTGTGGGCATGAAATCCCCCCAGCTGCTGCCTGCCTGCCCTCACCCCCCATCCCCACTCCCCGGTGAAAGCCTTACTGCTCCTCCTGCAGCTTCCCCCCTTCCTCCAGGTCAGGAGTTTGGAGCAAACCCTGCGAGGGCCCTGGGGAGAGGAGAGCCCCTTACCAGCTGTTTCTCTTGTGCCTCCTTCAGGGTGATGATGCTGTGGCCCTTGTGGCAGCCCACAATGGAGCAGAGCGTGCAGATGTGTTGCCCCTCGTCCTGGCAGTAGCACTCCAGCAGCCTGCCGTGCTCCGGGCACCTCCTCCCCTCCGCCGCATCGCCCGCGCCCACCTCTATGAACATGTGGTGCTGCTGGGAGGCCTTGGCGTTGTGTTTGTTCAGATGGGCCTGGCACAAAGACGCATCGCAGTTCAGGCACGTTATCGTTGCTGGCTGAAAGCGGTCCAGGCAAAAGTCACAGGGAACCACCTCCTCCTCCTCCTCCTTCCCCTCTGCAGAGCCCTCGGCCTGTTGTCCTTTGGAAGTGCTGGCCAGAAATGCCTCTACGATGCTGCACAGCTGGAAATTCTTCTGCAGCTCCAGGATGGGCCCCAGCTGGAGCTTGCACATGGGGCAGGAGTAAGGGGTCTTGGATTGCTGCTGGGCACCGAGTGCCTTCTGGATGCACTGCTTGCAGAAGCTGTGACCACAGCTCAGCGACACTGGGTTCCTGTACAGACACAGGCAGATGGGACAGCTGAGTTCGTCCTCCAGGCTGGCACCCCCTCCAAATTCTTCCTTTGCTTTTGCCATGGCTGCGGAAACACTGCGTTAACTAGTCTGCGAGAAACGAAACTAAAAAGACGTTCTTGGCGTTGTGCCCTCGTTGGAGACCCAGCCCACAGGCTGCAAGTCCTTCCTCTCTGCTCTCTGCCAGGCTGGCAGAGATACACTCCCCATCCCAGGCTCCACCTGGAAACAGCTCCTGTAAGCTATGGCAGCCACTTTCAGACATTTGCCCTCGGTCTCAGGCAGCGTTGTTCCGTGTGTGAGCCTCCAGCAGGCCGGTGGGAGCAGGGGGTGCTGGGGAGGGCACAAGATGGACAATTCTACAGCCCTCTGCCCTCCTGGAAAAATCCTCCATCCCATGCCAGGGGCAGCGAATTAAAGATAAACCCTGGACAAGAAGAGTATGAGCCTGGCAGGGGTAAGCCAGGAATTCCCTCTGCTTTGCCTGGTTCTTCTCCACAACAGTTACAGATGCTCCCCTAAAGGTAAAATAGGGAGAACCTAGGGGAAAGTTTTACTGGGACTTGTTGACGCTGGTCTCCTACCTGCAGCCAGCTGACAGGCAAATGGGCACTGGGAAAGGCACTCTAGGATAGGAATATCCCCATACCACATCACGAGCATTGCTTATCTCACTTTACACCCATACCACCTAAGCAGCCACTTCTCCCACTGCAAGTGCATTTGGGAGAACCAAATCTACCTGCATGGTTTTCTGTATCATTTTGGTGTATAAAACACAAAATAGAAAAGACAGCCACTTTCTTCTAAGACTGAACAAGGATTTCTTTTAGCATACGCAAAACTGCAGTGTCCCTCAAGGTCCTTCACTGTCCCTGCTGGGGTGAAGAGCTCCTGCCTGGACTTCTTCATGCAAATACCCTGGCTCTGTCTGAAGGCAGAAGAACCACAGGCAGCAGGCAGGAATATCATCTCCAAGGTGTTTGGACAACCATAAGAACGAAGTAATCTAGGCCCCATATGGCACAGACTAAAGGCACAGGAGTTTTCCTCTTTATTACTCCCTTTGCTGTGGCATTTTTGCATAGGTGAGGAGAAAATTAAAATTGAGGCAAGAAGTAGGTAACTGATTTATCAGAGAGCTCACAGGGGACAACAGCAGCAGAGAGCAAGGGAAACCAGGTGTCTTACCGCCTACTGTCTACTTGCCTCCCAGGCCAGGTTTGCTTCTGCAACAGATGGCTTAGGTTGTGCCGGACAGGTGGAGGAGGGCAGAGGTAAAAGCTGATGCATTAGAGCAAAGATCAGCATTGCTGCTGCTTAGTTCTGTAGCAGTTAATGTTGTGCTGTCAACTTTTTTATAAACTAAATTGCCATTGAGTTTTGCAAACTGAATTACTTTAATAACATGCAGCCAACACAGCATTTGATACAGCCAAACAAAAAAAGCACAACTTAACGGTATTTCCATTGTGATTAGCAGAACAAATATGATAGGAGCTCTTGCAGTAAGCAGCAGTGTGCTGTGATATACCCCAGAGAGGCCTTGCTCTCACACAGGTGAGCTGTCACAGCAGCCCAAAATCCAATTTCTAATATACCAGCTTAGCGCAGCCTCCGTGCAGCAACAGTCTCGATACCTAGGCCTGGAAACACAAAACACCACCTTGTCGCCACATCACTACAGGAGCTTCAAAGAGCCGTCAAGCACGCCGAAGATAGCATAGGCAGGATAGTTCGAAGGGATGCTTACTGCCTCTAAAAGCCTGAGGCTCTCAGTAGCATCTCTATCCTTGACAGACACATTATAAAATGACAGTGTATTTCTTCTGCAGTCTAGCTCCACCCTGACCACTTTGAGGGCTGTAGGAAAGTCCTTTGCTGTGATCATTGTTTGACCTAGGAACACACAGAGGGAACCATGAGACATTTGCAGGTAGCACTCCAACTTGGGATTAATGATTCCAAGCTTCCAATGGTGTGCATTGCTGGTGTCCACCTCCCAGAAGTGACAGCCCTGTGAGAAGCTCTCGTTGCTCTTTATGGGTAAGATGGCATCAGATGGATTTAATAGCCCAAACTGGAGAGAACTCCATGAGGATGCACTGACTACGTTGGCATTATAAGGGTATATAGTTCCTTGATGCACTGAAGTCAGGTGTTCCTGAACTATAGAAAGAAAAAAACCACATTATGATTAACAGATAATTGTGGAGATTTGCATACATCCCCACTGCTGAAAGCTAGATTTCCCAATCCAAGTCATCCAAGTCAATCCAAGTCATCCTATCCAAGTCATCCAATTCAAGTCCAACCCACCCAAGTCATTAAAAGCATATGTTAACTGAAACACCTTCTGCACCTCTCTGCTGCTCCTGTGTAATTCTAAAGGAGGTTGATATCATACTTCATGAAATGCTGCTCTTTTACAATTTTAAAGTGTCTTTTTGCTTTTTGTTTCAAACTACAGCAACTCTTAGATTTTAGTTTTCCATCATTGTCCTGCAGACCTTCATTAGGCATTTTTAAAAACTTCCCAGATTAAATTCCATGTACGAGAAATGTGTGAACAGCACCACAGCCATTTTATAAACGCTTATTTACTTAGCATAATTTGAAGTTATTTTCTAGAACTCTCAACAATTCCTGGCATGGCCAGTCACATGAAGTTAATTTTACACTCAGGAATTTGCAGAATGTTTTCTTTCAGTCTTTCAGACCTTCTCTTGCACGTAATGCATTTCAATATTGTGGTATTTTCTGCTCCGGAAGTTACTCCTCCAGGAAACTGAAATGGCAGCAGTGACTTGGACAACTAACCAAAATTGCTCAGATGGCATAGATAATTAGGAAAACCTGGATCTAAGGCTTTTTAGCCAGAATAGGTCTGGACTACGCTTACAGGGATGGTAGAGACTGAACTCAAGAGTGGCCGTTAGCACGGTGTGCTTCTTAGAGTACCCAAGGCTGTACCGATAGTGGCCAATTAGGTGTGCACATCGCACACTGTCACACACGCTCTGGACGGAGCGTTCCCACCCCAGCTGTCTCTCAGTCTTGTCCCTAGGCTGACTGTCAGCAAGGGCTCAAGCACCATCAAGAGAGCAATAACAAGGGAACCCTAGTTTTTTCAACGCAGTTGGAAAAGCATCCCACCATGCACAGCACCGGGACTGTAGATCTTACAAAACTTTACAAAGAGTAAAGTTATTTACAACGTAAGACAAACTCCGCCTGCTGCTGCTGCGATGAGTTCACAACTTTCCCCATGCTTTGAATCAAAGTGATGCTACAGACAGAAGAGGTGTTGCTATTCTCTTCCCTTAATCCTCCCAGAAAATTCCTAGGACATCCACATTTCTTCACCCAGAGCCCATTTTAACAGGATGTATTCAAGGCATGTTCCCAAAGCACTGAAGGCTAGGACAAGCACCCTTCTATGTACACATATGTGAAAATAATCATACAATGTTAGTAATCAGTTCTTCTAGAGGTACTTGGCATACTTGGTGTCCTATTACAGTCCTTTCTTAAACATGTTTTGTTAGCTTCTCTGTCTTGCTTGTCACATAGTGACATGATCACTTACCAGGTGGTACTTCAAATAAGGACTGCATGTCTGAGAGGAATTGCCGGAAAAGCCTTAGAGTAGTGTCTGTTGTTAATTTATCCAAAATAACGGGTGGCCTTGGCAGTTCTACACCATCTTTGTTAGTAAGTTGCTTGCGTTTCCTAAAACACGCAGAAAGACATCAGAGCAGCCAGTCATCAGAAAACCGTCACCAAGCCCATCCGTGAGCCAACAACTGCGTCACCCACTCCACACCCAGCCTCAATGGGAGGTACAGAAAAGCAGCTTCTATCATCCCCGCCCTCTGCAGCTTTACCAGGGACTCGCCCTCTGACAGGTCTTTTCCCAGAACCCCAGATCTCTTCAACATCGTTAGGATGAAGTTCACTCCATGGACAATATCTGTCCCCAGAGGACCTTGTCTCAGCCACCTCAGCCCCAACTTTTGCCAGGAAGGACCCCAGCATCATGTTTCTGGTTACAGTCTTCAAGTCCCTGCAGAAGGAGCTAATGAGGTATCAAGGGCAACTGCTGGCATGCTGGGACACCAAACAAGAAGTGCTGTGTTATCACAGCCAAGGGGCAACTGCTGCACCTGAAATGCAGGGCTGGGGAAAGGCCGGGCTAGGGGACCTGTGTGCATGCAGTGGTGGGCTGTGGTGGAGGAACAGCACTGGGCAGGCACTGGGGGAGCAGCTCAGGAGAAAACCCATGAACTTTGTAGACTCATGACTTCACTGCATGTTTCAGCTCCTGCCACATTTGCTTCTTACAAGCAGTAGGCAATGCAAACTGGAGGACAACTCAGGATATATAAGCTCATCCGTCCTTTGCATGCCCAGCCAGGGACCTAAATATTCAGGAACTGCTTTCAGAACGGGTCTCAAGAACAAGTGTGGAGGATACAGAAAAATAAGCCATGTTGTATACGAAGAGTCACATGTGACCTCTGTTAATATTTTGGGGCTTGGGGCTTCTCCAGGTCCCTGACAAAGCCAGGCTCAGAATGTGCAGTCAGCATGCCCAAGGGGCAGCCAGGGCAAGCCCAGGGAGCTGTGGGCCTGCAGTGCACGCAGGCTGGGCTAGCAGACACACACCACTGGACTATCAGTTACCTGAAGCAATATGTAATGCAATAGCAGACCACCTCAGGAAGAGCTTACCTGGCTCGAATCATTGCAAAACTCTGTAAAAGACATTTTGAAAGGAGAATTAAGCACAGCGCAGGCCAGCCAGAATTAAGCACTGCCAGCCCAAGAGCTGAACATCTCTGGAAAGGGAGATGCTATTAGGTACCTTCGTGAAAAGAAGTAGGTCTTTCTGATCTCTCAGAGCCTCCAGCTCCTGTACATTGCAGCTGGCTGCATCCTTCTCCTCTTTGTGTTTTTGTACCTCCATCTGAATCTGAGAAAGCTGTTGCTCCTCGTGGTGACTGAGAGCTTTCAGGACCTCTCTTTTTTTGTTATCTAGCTGCAGACACATCTCTTTGAAGAGGCTCTCCAGCTGATCCCTCAGGAGGCTCTCCTTAGCCTGTTAAGAAAACACTTTCAAAGTTGTTAGGGACTGAATCTTACATTTTCCACGCTAACTCTCACTCAGAAAGAGCCTGGTCTTTTCTGGGCTGAGAGAAGTAACTACTAACTTAGTGCCTCTCTGTATGACAACAAACCAAGATGTCCCACTGACAGCAGAAAGGCCAAGTGACATAAGTGGCCTTCCCCAGCATCTGGCACCTGACCAGAAAAAGACAAAAAAGTAGTGCTTCTTGCACAATGCTTGCTGAAGACTTTCCACTATACATGTATTTCCTTATTCTGCACTGGTATTTTTCTATGGATACATTGTCTTTGGTCCTTTTAAGGACGGGTGAGGAAAAAGTTTCTCTGCTTACTGCCTCCACCAAGCTTCCTTCACTGTTTGAAAGCAGCTACACTGCCAGACAGAACACTGCCCACAGGTACAGTTTTGTCTTCAGACTTGAAGGGAAGATTTCCTTTGCCCAGTGCCAGGACTTCTAGTCCCATCACTTTTACTGGTGGAGGAAGGCAAGTGCCAATTTTGCCTAAGCAGAATGAATGAGGATTTGGAGACCTGCGTTAAATTTCCTGCTCTTTCAGAGCTTTTAGATAGGTATTTGCATGCTGGGAGCAAAAACCAGACACTGTGGGGCAATCTTTTAACCTCATTCCTACCAACTTCTTAGAACCACAGACTAACCTAAAGGGATTTCTTGTTGTAAAGAGGAATAAAATCACTCTAACATGGTCTGTATCCTTTCCATAAGTATTTTAGAGTCTGAAAATTGAGTAACATTGGGGGGAAAAAAAGCAACCACCACCCACCAATCAGGAGGCATGGACTTAACAGCAACTTTCAAGGTCAAAGGTCCTTTGCAAACTATGAATGTACTTGCCAGACTGATAAGAAAGTTGTTCATCATCCTCCTTCAAAGAAGAAACCTAGAAAATATCTGAGAAACCACCATGGAACTAAAAAAAGCTTCAGAATCCATGATCTGGGGAAGCGCAAAAGAAAACCTTATCTCATCAGCTACCAGCATGCAACCATCCCGAAGGGATATGGAAACTTGGAACAAACCTTTACGTCCTCCTCTTGTTTCAGCAGATTTGCTATGCTTTGATTCAGTGCAGCTTCATGTTCTTTCGCTGTTTCCAGAGTTTCAGGAAAAACACTCTATAAAAATAACCGGAGGGAGGTATGAGGATAGGACCGACATACGTACACAAGATCAGCTATTTTATGGAAATGGGTTAAGCCAGACCTGCAAAAAGGTTGTTCACTGCATGCTCTCAGGACAAATCAATACATAAAGGTTTATTGTAAGATTTTACCCCTGAACAAATACCACAATTACGAGAATGGGAAAGACATTTTGAAACTGAAAGCTGTTCATGTGCAATAGCCACACATAAAGCTACCTTCAGTGCTGACAGCTTCCTTTCTGTTACTCTGTCATCAATTTCCTTTGCATAAATGCAGCTCAGGCTGGTCTTCTGGCTTGAAAGCTCACGGAGGACTAAAAGCATAGCCACAAGCACTCAGTCTGACCAGTTTGGCTCCTCGAAATGGGAAGAAAGTGTTTATGACATCTTGCTTTATATCCCGAGGGGCAAGCCCAGAGGGAATCTGGGGCAAAACTAGGACTGAAAGCCCAACATCCCAAGATGAAGACGTAGCCCTATCCTGAGTCTGCAGATCCGAAACTCGGGAGACGTTTCATCCCTGTGCTGCGGGCAGCTCTCCACGCCACAGACCCCAGTGGTTTTCCTAGCGCAATGCGTGCCCGGGCTGCTGTCCTGGCAGCCTCTTACCTGCGCCTGGCCAAAAGCCTCCTCCAAAGTGTCGATCTTGTGTTTCCTGTGGGGGCCAGCGACACAGCACAGCACACAGATGCAGACCGAGTCCGTCCTGCAGTAGCCCTCCAGCAGTTTGCCGTGCTGGGGGCACCTCCTCTCAGCCAAAAGATGAGCATCACAGGGCTCTATCAGGACGTGGTCTTTCAGGAGGCTGTTTGTGCTGTGCTTGCTGCAGTGGGCTCGGCACAGCGAGGCCTCGCAGCTCAGGCAGGTCTTCACGGCTGGCTGGGGGGCCTGGAGGGAGAAGTGGAACAGGAGTAACTT